CGTCCCCTGGTTTGAAACAGGAATAGTTTGAATCAACATATGGTTCAGCACTATAATTATATGCAAAGTTACATAATGCTACAATTGTTAAAAACAATGGAAACATAGGAATCAGGAAACAATGACAATGAAATCATACTGTCATCTTACAATATTAAAATAATGGCCAACAGAATCTCAATGGTGAACATTACTTCAATAGTATCTAGGAAGTTAATTAAAACCACCAAAGAAGAAAACTAACACCATATTACAATTGAAACAAGGCTGATAATATTGAATTAACACTTTACAAGTTACCAACAACGAATCATCATGCGCCATTATTGATACTGCCCAACGATGTATTGACGTGACAAACATAGATCCGTGAACCTGGTAGAAGGTACAAAAGCCATACAACAGCTAAATAATGTTCTTCATTGATTTCTTTGATACAGAATGAACTGGCTAGCTGGTCAGATTTGTTAGTCAATCAACAAATCCTTGTCTTACTTCTTTATCCAAAGTTTAGATAAATCTATAAAACAACAACAGGGAATAAACAGTACTTTGTTTATTAAATAAAACCTATTGAGAAAATAAACATTTAGCTCTTGGACACCTCTTGGAAGCTTTAGAATGGATGAAAAAAACTAATTGTTTAGTCTGGCTCCAAGCCCTTTTGACTCCCCTCCTGGGTATATGATACAAAACCATAATTTCTAAATGAATTGTAGATGTAAGGAGGGGTCAGGGGGGGGTAAAATGGGGGTAGAGAATAAATGCAAAACGACAATATCTTATGCCTGGGTCACATTTGCTACGATTCATCGGCCGGCGCCCGGCCGATTGAGTATTTTGTTCAAAATCGAATACATTTCTGAACACAATACTCAATCGGCCGGGCGCCTAATGAAAATAGGAGCAAATGTGACCACGGCATAACTGAGTGGGAGAGGACGGATAAGATGGCGAGTTAAGAACACTGAAATCATTAGATCAAGAAATTATGAGAAAATATACCAGATCAAAAGAAAAGGTATCGGATCAAAGGAATAACAATCAATATGAATTCTATACAACCCCAGCTTCTCTGTTAATTAAGTACCCCTATTGGAACAATAACCAATTTCAATATAGCTATGGTTCAAATATCACTACAGACACTCAGAAATTGAAGTAAGACCCAAATAGAGCAGAAATACACTTCTGATTACCCTGCGTGCAGAGTCTAGTTAAACGAAGACGGAGCTCTCTTTTAAGAAGTGTAGTCAAACGAATGCAAAGGATAACTTCTGATATACTTTCACTTAAAACATCTCACATGGGAATACCCTGATTCTCAGAGCCTAGTAATGTAGGTGAATCTCTCTTTTACAAAATCAATCTATTGGGAAAGGTCTACAGGGTATGTCAGAACTAGACAAGCTTTAGGAGGAAGCTCAGACATAAAAGCCAGAGGCTTGGCTCAACAGTATTGACAAAGGGATTGGATCTTGTACATCTTTACTAACATTTTAATACTTAGTCTAGCTTCAACCCCTTGTTACCCCCCCCCCCCTACTATGCACATCCCTGTGAGAGAAAGAGTGTAGCCAAGTAGTGGGAGGGGGGACATATGGACTTGCAGCCCAACCAGAATGGCAGCGAGTTCCAGTTAGCTTTCATGATTCTTCCTATTGTTGATTCTTCAGATTCTACAGACTCGCACAAGCACTATAAGATAAAGACAGAAGGACTCTGAAGTTAGGTTCTTCCTACTTGATGCCTATCGATGCTACTTCAACATCAACATCGATGATAGCTCTCGTAAACCTGAATTGAACTCTCAAGTCATGTTGCTCCTTACTCAAACAATATAAAATCAATAACGCAAATAAATTCATTAATATAACTCATATCAAAGGCTGTAATTATTTGAACTAGAATGAAATGGATTAAACATTCATGCTACAATATACAATGTGCTCTTGGAAATTACTAGACATTTGTGGCTAGTGTAACCGTTAGTTACTGGTTTAATTGCTCTCTACAAGGCATCCTTAGCAACAGTGTATTTTCCTCAAAACTTGACCAAATCCATACCCTGGGACTTATTGTCTAACAGTATCATCGTACACTCTGAGTATAACAAATTGATTTGTAAAGAAGTTTCATGATTGGTCTTGTAGGAAATCGTAATGCATAGGTATGGAGTCAGATTATAGCAAATGGTACAATATTCATTCCAGTTCAATGTGACCTGCCGTACTCTGATTGTGGTCAACTGATTGTTCCTATAGCTCATATTCCTCTAACATGCTAAGACCATATGACACTCCTTCCTCTACTCCAATCTTCTTAGTAAAACATACCTTAGAAACGATTTCCCTCCACAAACTTCACATTACAAAAAGAGGACTAACCTATGTGCTTCAGGATAGGGAATCAAGCTTATAACGGGGGGGGGGGGGGGGTGAGCGAATCCCCCTGGATAAAAGTCTTTCAAAATAAAATGGTTTTAGGACAAAATATTTTTTTAAAAGTAAACCCCCTTAACAAAATTGTGGATATGTGCCTGGGAATATAGATTAAGAGAGAGAAGATAAGATACTTCTCCAGTCAGAAAACTGTATCTTTGTCAACCTAAACAGCCCTGAAAGAAACATCCATTGTACTTTTGAAAGTACACCATTTGAAACTCTATAAAGCTTGTATGATGCATGTGATCAACTATATAAACACATATACATGTGAAAAAACACAGACTAATGTGATATCAAAACAATAGGATCAAGAGCTCTTATCTAAACACATAAGGAGACGGAGGTATTACAGAAAGAGAATTTCCCTCAAATGTTTTTACACTTTCTTGAGTTCAAGACAATGAAAAACGGTGAAAGATAATACAGCTACCCATAATAATGGCCTTCATTTTTTCATTCAATGAACATTGAAATTGAGAGTTCATAGTTTTGAATTTTTGAGAAATGTTGAGCATTAATATCTAAAAGGTAGTTTAGTTGTAATAATCATTGTAAACTGTTGTTTAATAACATAATCAAATATACATTCCAAGATTATTTCTAAAGATTTAAGAATGATACATGTAGATTTGCTACTAAATCCTATAACCCTTTAAATAAATTCAATTTCATGTGAGTCTGTGATATGGTTGTAACAGGCATTACCAGAAAAAGTTTTGGAGAAAAATACAACATATATTGAAAATGCTGAAAGGGAATTCTTTAGATGGTGAAGCAGTTAAAAGTTCAGTTTCATATAACTCACAAGTTGTTTTATAAAATTTTAAAGGGAACTTCCAGATTAGTATGCAGAAAATATATAGGCCTAGCTCAGACAGTTGGTTTTACCAGTAAATAAAAACTCATGTTGGACTCATTTTTATCCGAGAAAAAGTGGAAAAGTAGAGGACAAGAAAAAATAGCATAGTAACAAATTCAGTATTCTAAACTGCAAAAAGATTGATTTCTAAAAATCTGGAGTTTCAGTTTATTTTGGTGGAGAAATAACGTGAAAAAAGCATTATGAAAACAAAATTTTAAGCAAAGTCAACAGCCTAAAGTTTTAAAAATTGTATTGCAGTTATTACAACCTCATAAATCAAGATTTGAGGAAACTGTAATTCATTAGACTTCTGTCCAATAACCATCTAGCATATTAAAAGCATAGTATGACCTAGACAATAAAAGAACCCATAAAATTAAAAAGTTGTCTTGAATCCATATAATTAACATTTAAATACACCAGATTATTACAATTCGCTCATTGTTCCTTCTTCAGCCCTACTCCCTCTCTGAAAGAGAAAAGACATTCTCACAAGCATTAGTTAAAGAGGGACTCAGATAAAGCACAATACAATAGCCAGTAATGTCAAAACACCATTCATTTTTTATTTATTTACTGCACTTCAAGGGAGCAGGTGCAAGCCATTCAATTGTCACAATATTTCAAGCTAACATTTTCAACGGTTTAAAGCTGTGGCATTAATATGCCGCATTATTATAAACTAGTATAGAGGACGGTGGAAAGCTGAAATCAATACAAAGTTCTATACATCAATAATTTGACTACTCAAAATCTTCCAGTAAATCTTTTACAATAAATTGCCCCCAGAATCATTCCCAAGGTCTTATATCAATTTTAAACAATGCATAGAGAATTTTTTTAAATTATATCTAGAAGACAGATCTATGGAAACATTACAAAAATGCTCACAGGCTTAAATAATATCCAAGAATACTACTGCTTCATTTGGAGGCATATTGAACAGATAATTAACATTTGCTCACAAGTGCATGATTTGTGATTGATGAAATGAAACAATTAAGATATTATACCAACTGCTAATTCTATGTGACATGCATAAATCAAGGATATTAATGTCTTATAGGTAGCTTATATAGACTTCCTACTGTTTGTTATATTACCAACAAGAGGTAGTAGAAATACAAAGAAATCAGGAATGTATTTAAATTTTAAGAGAAATGGAGTGAAATAGCGTTAGCAGACAAGAAAATATAATTAGAATCTTCCATATAAAGTAGCTGTCTATGAGGGACTAATTGGCTTAAGTACTTATTAGTGTCACTAGATCTTCCTTAATTAGATAAGATACCAAATGTTGGTCACTAACTGTAGTTTTAATTAAAACTGTGTTAACATCAACTGAAGGATTCAAACCTAACTTTAGAGACTTTTACCCTCAAAATATAGCATACAGATTTGTTATGTAATAAACCATCATACATGTGTATAAAGAATTGTTTTTGTCATGCAATTCTATTCAACTGACATATTAAGACATCTGTTAAAGTATTGCAATATTAAGTCATAAAGCGAATAAGAGAATTATGTAAGGTTGAACATATGACGAGTATCTTTGTCATATTTTCTTCCCATCTTTTTCATAATCCTTGGACGGAATTATGTAAGGCGTAGTGTTTATTCGTGTGTATTTGAAACACATTCACAGCATCTTTGCCAGCAATATAAACTTACATAGCACATTCTCTTACCTAATTTCTGTATGATGTATCCTTTGGGTGCTTTGAGGATTCGTTTTGCCCAGGTGCTGCGTAATGTATCCAAGTGGGTATCTTTTCCGCCAACGAGTAAAGTATAAGGCTCGATGTATCCAACATATTTTACATTATAGGTACACTCATCAAGTTGTGAATTCCAATAGCAGTTCTTATTAGCAGTTCTAAACTCTTGAAACATTTCTTTACCAGTCTTGGTAAAATCAACATTACCATGGTCCAAAATAGTACTTGGAGGCCGGTCTGTTTCAGAACCTTCATTTTCGGAGCGTTGATTTCTTGGTTTCAAAACGATTGCAATACACCTAGATAATACCGATACAGGCTTCTGTACCTTTTTATCATCTTTGTGAAGTTTTGTCGCCATTGCAGCGATATGTTCACTTAAAATCCACTAATTGCAGAGCATACTTCTTTTGTTGTTGTTTAGAACTTTCAAAATTGAACTCTCGCAAGGTGGTCGAGAATTTGCGAGATTTCTTGATTGAAAAATAAATGTCAAACTAATTTTGGTTTTCTTTATCGAAATCAATAATATTGTCATGTAAAATCACAATTCTTGTAAATTAAATTAATCTAGATCAATTGATTCGATAAATCAAAACAATAATGATGACAAAAATATAAATTAGATATTAAATATTTAATGCAATTTAATTCCATTTGTGAGTTTGAAATGTAGAGAAGTTCCAACATGGCAGCTCCCATGGATGACCAAAATTTTGTTGAAAATCAGGTTATTTTCTTCTGTAACTCTGAATTTGGAGAAGATGTAAAATCCCTAGGAAAAGTTCGGAATTTCTACACTAAAGCTCTAGCCACAAAAAAGTCATTGGAAGATCAGGTGAGGGGATTGAAGAGATATGAATGGAAACAATATTTTTTTATTTTGAATTTTCACACACTGAACACTCAGTCAGTTTTGTTTATCAGAATCAGTACACGTCATGCAAATCATAACAGACCCTTTCCAAATTTTATTCTTTTTCAACTTATGTTAGTTAATCATGTAGTTGCTGTTTATGGCTTCAGTGCCTCCACATATGATTAGGTGTACAGCATATTTAGCTTCTTCTTCTTAATTTAGCCTTATCCCATGCCAGGACTATAGTCCTGGAACGAGCCGAATCTTTTGCCTGTAGGATTACAACTTGGGATAATTATCTACGTACCGTACACTTAATATACCTACTTCAATAGATTCCTTGGTATTTTAGCATTCTTTCCGTGTAGATGAATCCAAAATTGTCTGGGTTTATCGGCAGAACTAAGAAATTTTCGTTTTTGATCGCAATATTTGCGTATAATATTTAACTTATGTCAACCGTCAAATTCCTCCATTTATTGGTACTTTCGGGTCAGTCAAACCCAACCCAAGTTTAAATCCAACCGCCATCTTGGAAAGTGATGGAATCTCTCTCGGTCAAGTTGTAATCGTACAGGCAAAAGATTGGACTTGTTCCAGGACTATAGTCCTGGCACGGGATAAATTTAGCCCTATTTCAGTGTTATATTTCGTCAGTCAAATCTAAAAGTAAGATTCGGTTATAAAATGTGACTGTCACTTACATTCCAGGATTTAATAAACACTGACAAATGTAACCTATCATCTTTGTTTTGTCAACCATGAAGCACAATATTTATAGAAAGAAGTGTAAGTTTGCGTCAGTTACCATGTCTGATAATCAATAAAATTATTAAAAAGAAAGAATGTTTTACGCTCGTTTGCAAACAAGTTTCTGAGTTTAGAATGAAATGGAAGTTTACTTTCTTCTTAACTTTAATAGGGGAAAGAGCAGCAGCCACAGGCTTTTCATCTCTGCTGTATAAGTCCATGCAGTAAGATCTGTTGTTGATGTACTGTATTGTGATACATTTTTGAAAATATGTAAAATAAGAAATGTGAAATCAATGAACCAAGAATCGAATTTCACATGTGTTGGTGATTTTCTTATCCAACCTTCTGGAACTTACCAAGAAATAATTTGATTGAGAAATTTCTCTTTGATATCGTGCTTATGCTTCATGGTCAACAAAACAAAGTTGATAAGGTTATAATTTTCAGTGTTTACTAAATCCTAGAAGGTAAGTGATAGTTGCATTCTGTAGCTGAATCTTCTTATTTAGCTTTGACTGACGAAATAAAACACTGAAATAGGCCTTAGATGAAACTTCTCAACATACAGTATTCTATAGCATGTAAAGCTGTAATATGATGATCTAAGGATTGGCTCATCAAGTGTCAGTATTCAGCCTAGACAATTATTCTCCTTTGGAGGAACATGTATCATAGTCCCTACAGTCTTTCTTACAATTTATTTGACAACTTTGAATCTAAAAAATAAGCAATTGAAGGACCACATTGGTCATTGTAACATTATATGGAAAAATAAAAACATATATACCTGGCCTTTCTTCAATATATTTTCGTTTGGTTATCATACATGTGACCTTTATTATTTTGATGTTTTTCTGTCATGTTATTTTCCCCAAAATAAAAATGGCTGAAACCCCCTCTAATAAACTCAGATGTGAGTAGGTAGTTACCAGTTTCACCATCAGATGGCTCATTTGGGTCAGATAGCATGGTGGGTATAGTAGAAAGTTCCCTTTAACTTAAATATTCATCAGTTTTAGTGGTTCAATTTTCATATCACCCTATGTGTCTAATAGTTATGCAAATTAAAATATGTCCAGTAAAAGAAAATATTATCTCTCCAATACAAGAAAAGATGTTTCACTTTTTGTGATTTTATAACATGGGGTCTATGAGGAATCTCCCCAAACTAGAAGTCACATTTTCAAAAAAGATTACATTTTCAAAGTCGATAAACATTTTGCGAATCCATATTTCTAGGAGTAATTTTACATGTAGATTTCAAATATGACATCATTTGAACTGAATTTTGAATATTTAATGACATAAATCAAGATTTATTTCTACTCGCATAGATCTAGTCTATCACAAAATGCCCAAGCTTTACTGCACATATTACCTCTGAAATAAACAAAAGTTAGTCCAGATAAATATGTTTCTATTTTTATGTCCCCACCACATAGTGTGGGGCCATATTGTCGTCCTAGGCGCGTCCGTCCGTCCGTCTGTCTGTCTGGTTGTCTGTCTGTCCGTCCGTACGTCCGGCAGTTTTCTCCAAAACCGCTACAGGTATCACCTTCAAATTTTCAGGAATAACTTGTGAGTGCATACAGATGTGGATGAAAAAAAATTAACTCGATAGCTACTTCCTGTCTGCCATTTTGAGGTCAAATGCTAAAATCCTTGTCTGCAAACTTTAAGAAAAACGGCTTCACAGTTGCTTTTAAAACTTTAACATCTTGTTCAGCTCACTTCATTCTACATCTGATTAGGTTTTGGACCTGTTAGCCCAGTCATGTCAGCCATTTTGAATGTCTGAAGAAAAGTTAGCGCGCGATAATACTTTGTATCATATTGAATGGTGTTTTTGAGTTTTCATACTTTAACTATTTAGTAGCTTTATAAATAATTCCAGGTGTACTTTGTTGAAAAAGCCTATGTTATTGTTAACAGTAGTTATATGTGATAATTTTGTAAAAGGAAATCAGCAAAAACTCGTAATCACTTTTTTATTGTCGGCCATTTTGGTTTTTTTCCGTCCTAAAATCTTGTCTGTAAAGTCTTGTCTACACGTTTTCAGGTGAACCGTTTGGTAGATCAATTTCAAATTTTCAGGGATGAATCTTAGTATGAAAATCTAGATCTGATTAGTTTTTTGTTGTTCTGGGTAAATGTCAAGGCAGCCATTTTGGATTTTCCGTCCTAAAATCTTGTCTGTAAAGTCTTGTCTACGCATTTCCAGGTGAACCGTTTGGTAGATCAATTTCAAATTTTCAGGGATGATTCTTAGTATGAAAATCTAGATCTGATTAGTTTTTTTGGCGTTCTGGGTAAATGTCAAGGCAGCCATTTTGGATTTTCCGTCCTAAAATCTTGTCTGTAAAGTCTTGTCTACGCATTTCCAGGTGAACTGTTTGTTAGATCAATTTCAAATTTTCAGGGATGATTCTTAGTATGAAAACCTAGATCTGATTAGTTTTTTGGCATTCTGGGTAAATGTCAAGGCAGCCATTTTGGATTTTCTGTCCTAAAATCTTGTCTGTAAAGTCTTGTCTACGCGTTTTCAGGTGAACCATTTGGTAGATCAATTTCAAATTTTCAGGGATGATTCTTAGTATGAAAATCTAGAACTGATTAGTTTTTTGACATTCTGGGTAAATGTCAAGGCAGCCATTTTGGATTTTCCATCCTAAAATCTTGTCTGTAAAGTCTTAATGTTTAAGGATGCAGTACCAGGTCAGCGTAGAAAAAGTTCCAGACATTAGATTTTGCTCATATTTTTTACAATGTATCACTATGATGTTATCATCATTCAAGTGCAATATGAAGAGGATTGACCGTCTGGTAATTACAAAATAAAAAAATTATTTTACCCACCCAAAATGAATCTTTTTACTTTTTGAGTTTTCAAAAGAGCTGGCACCTTTCGAACCCTGGTTTTCGTATCCACTAATTGCGACTCAAGAACAAGTTTTCCCATAAAAGTGAAAGGGATAAATTATGCTTGATAAAATGTTTGCAATTTAATTCTTTTCTGGAAACACCATTATCGAAATAAACTATAATTTTTTAATAAGACTAAATGCGAAAATGACGTTCTTGGGAGCTAGCTTTCTCAAACCGGAAGTCAAACCTGTGCAAACAGACGTGAAAATCGACCCGGTACTGCATCCTTAACTGTTTGACGGATCAATTTCAAATTTTCAGGGGTGGTTCTTAGTATGAAAATCTAGAACTAGCTAATTTTTGGGGATTCTGGGTAAATTTTAAGGCGGCCATTTTGGACTTTCCGTCCTCAAATTGTGTCAGTAAAGTCTTGTCTACTCATTTTCAGGATACTAGTAACCATTTCATGGGATCACCCATTGGTGGGGACATATTGTACACATTTGTGTTCTTGTTATTCTTTATAATGCTGAAATGTGGTTCTTTGGTTATATTTTAGATTCAAAGTTTTCACTAAACACGTCATCTTGACTGTATATACTGTAATCTCTGCCAGATAATTAATGACCGAAAATGTGGTATTTACTTCCGAAAAAAGACCCTACTATTTGTATAGAACATTATACTTGCTGGTATTTATTAACATCATAGCAATAATTTAGTACTTTTGGGAAGAGTTCATCTATTTCATATTTCATGACTATGGTTAAATGAAAGGTTTCAGAACAAGAAAAGTGTCCTCTATTGCAAACACTGGATCAAAAGCGGTTTTGTTTATTTAAAAGATTTTATTGATATCAATGGTAACGTTATAGATGAAAAAACAGTTTTAAATAAATTAATTGATAAAAGGAATTGGATGACTGAATATATCCGAATAAAATGTTTTATTGTAAAATTATTAAAAGAACATGATGGGGAGTTAGCAAAGCACACAAACATTAGATACCATAACCAAATTCTTCTAAAAAACGGCTCATGGACAAAAATAAATGATATCAGCACAAAGTCATTGTATAATATACTTTTAAAAGAAAAAGCTGAAAGCACAGTAATGGAAATTTATTGGAGTTCATTGTTTAAGACACCAAATACAACACAGTTTTATAGATCTATTTATATGTCAAAATTTATAAACATTGTTGACAAAAAATATGCTGATTTTAACTATAAATTGATTCATAACATATTGGCATGTGGTAAACTTGTGAGTAAGTGGAATAATAACATTTCGAAACTGTGTTTATATTGCAATGAAACTCATGACATCAAGCATATGATATTTGAGTGTCGATTACTAGGAAATCTTTGGGTCAATGTTGGGAAGATTCTAAAATGTAATATTCAATGGAAAAATATAATATTAGGGTTTTATATGAATGAAGGAAATATTCAAGAATTTAGAAATATTGTCACAACGGTGGTCAGCTATAGCATTTATGTAAATTGGAGTAAACACTCAGAGGATTATGAAGGACTTAAGGATGTAAATTTTAACAATCAAGCCTTTCTATATTTATCCAAGTTTGTTGAAAATATGAGACATATGAAGAAGAAAAATAATGAAGTGCTGCACCTTTTAGAGGACTGCATTAATAATTTTGACTTGTTATATTAACATAGTAGATGTAATCATAGTATATGTAGATATACTTTTTTCACATCTTTATAGACATGTACTTGCTGTGTTTCTTTTTCATGTCTTTATAGGTTTATTTTATTCTTTTTTACATCTTATAGATTAGATGTGAGATTACTGCAGGTCTATGTACTTACTGTAGCCTTATATTTTATATTATCACACCTTACTTAACCTTTGTATTCTTGACTAAATGTATATGTAAATATGTTTTGATTTTGAAAATAATAATAAAAAAAAAAAAAAAAAAAATATTTCATGACCATAGATAAGCCAAAAAGTGTCCAGAATATAGTATGTGGTCTATAATAATAACTTTAATATTTCAGCTATCATTTGTGCAAACTGAAGCTCCTACGAAGCTTAACAAAGCCGTGAGAGAAGCAGAAGAAGCGACCACAAGAATATCTCAACTCTCGAAAGAGCAGGATGTCATCAGTGTTAAAGTTAATGAAAAGGTTGAAGAAATTGAACCTGTTGTGAAGAGGATAACCCATCTTACAAGTCAGATCAATGAACTTGAACATTACACAAATTATCTGACATGTCTTTCAAAAGTAGAAGAACTAAGGTATTTTAAATTTTTCTATTATGGTGGTGCCATAAATGGAGCTTTCCCCATATATTTGCATCTGAGTCGAAGTTATCTATCATATTTCCAGGCTTGAGTTAGCTTTTTTAAGGGGGCTCAGTCTTTTAAAAATTCAAGTTTTGGCCGGGGGTGTTCCCAGGCTATGGTCCTGATTTTTCAAAATGTATTTTGTTCTCGATTGTAATTTTTATATACAGGTTTTCTTCATGATGAATCCATAATTTCAGGATTTTTCATTGTTTTCAATTGTAATCATACAGGCCTAATGTGTAATTACATTGAGCTATTTTTCGATCTTACTGCTTTAAAAATATGTATATTATTTTGTTTTTTTCAGTTCTGAGATCCAGTCTGCGTTGATCATAAACTCAGTACAGAGGTCTGTGGATCACTTTTCTGAAATGGTGGATCTGATGACATCACTCAATGACTCAAAATGTGCAAACCTGAAATCATTTCTTCGTGAGACAGTACTTTTCTGGTACAAGATATTGAGGGATAAACTTTCAGGGTGAGAAAATAACACATTTTTATTAAAAGCAGAAAAATTGTGAGCAAATTGTCTTCCAAAAGGTCCTTGAAAACGTAACAAATGTGGAAGTTGTGTTTAGAGATTGAAGTAAATGTACAAACATATGTAAATTCTCTCAAATAATAAATGTGGACATCCACTTTTATAGAAAAATAACCATATGTTGTAAAAATCTGAAGTTTACCTTGAATGAACTAATGGGATTTAAAGAAAATATTCATCACACGGAATCTGATCTGACTTTCCCTACATGTTATATAACTCTCATAATCCCAATCATCTGGTTAGTTCATGCTAGTGTACAGGCAGCCCTGTACTCAGGATTTGCCAAGGGCTCACTTTTTGAAAAATTCAAGGGGGGATTTTCTTTGGACAATTTTGGTCCAAAAAATGACAATAATCACTGAAAAAGTGCTCAGAATGGTTAAATACTGCATGATTTTGAAAGAATTTTCGGCCAGGGGAACCCATCGAACTTCTTGACAAGATGGATATTGTTTACATATTTAAAATGTCAATACCAATTTATTTTAATTTAATCTCGATCAGCGAGTTCTATATGAAAATGTGTTTTTTCTTCTAGGGAATTTGACGAAGTTCTGAAAGCGCTGAATTGGCCATTCATTGTTACAACAGTGAAATCTCTTCAACAGAAGGAAAGTCCAGAACAACTGAATGTCAAGTTAGAGACTCTGCTCATCCAGCTGCTGGAGATTCAGCTCCCGTATCCTTGTACAAACATTTTTTGAAATCAATTAAACACATAAGCAAAGGTTTTAATAACAAAAATATATTAAATATGCCATTACTGGATATGGTTCATTAGTTCCATAAAATTTTAGATTGACATAAACAAAAACTCATATTTTATGTCATCACCAGAAGTGGTGACATTGTTATAATCTCCAACTTTTTGTGGTTGGTGTTCGGTGTTCAGAGTCTGTTACAAATGGCAGATGGTGACATTTTGCATGTAAATACTGTGTTAAAAGTTAATTAATGCTCCTATGCTATAGGATAGAGTCATCTTTTTCCAGTGTATATCTACTCTACCCTTATCTTATTCCTTATATGATTTTGGGTATTATGATTCCTTAATAATGTTCAGATTTGAAGTCTGTCCCGAGCCTCGCCCTCAACATCCGACCCTTGCGTCACTTCCTGATTGGAGGCCCCTCCCACTTCCGATGAGCATCATGGTCAAACCAATCAAGAAAAGATTCCGATTCCACTTCTACGGAAAGAAACAAACAAATAGCATTGACAAGGTTCATATTTAACATCATGTTTAATTATTTAATTATCATTTTTAAAATCTCAACGTACATAATGAACCAGGAAAGTGCTTCTCTCTTAGTTCTCCACCATTTAAATGAACTAAAAAATGTGGATATCTAAACAAAGAAAAATTAATAAAAAAAGTAATATCTTCAGCTTTCCTGTAATGAAGCATGAAGTTTGGGTATTTCTAGAAAAATTGAATGATATTGACAAGGAATGATATGGGCCTAAGGTATCAAAAACTTTGAGAACACTTTTTTGTAAATGTTGCTTGCTTGACCTGACCGTGCATTTAATTTACAAGACATGCATACATCATATAGGATATCCAAAATATCCTTACATAGATATACATGCTGAGCCAATTATATATTTCAGCCAGAGTGGTTTTTCACTCAAGTGTTGTCATGGATACGAGACCACACAGATTTCCTGGTGAAGAAGATTCAGCCAGTTCTTGACAGGTCCAATTACACACACATTGATGCCAAGGTCGGTATTTTAAAACACCCATCTGCTTATGCTTGTTTTATGCCATTTTCTCTAAATTTTGAATGATGTATGTATGATCGTACATTTTTTACATTTCTATAAAAGCCAAAGTAATGACTTCATGCAAACATCCATATCTCTATTATGACTTCATAGCAAATTTAAGTTAAAAGCAAATTCACACCTAGCTAGGCAAGATGTGTCCTATTTCAGCCAATCGGAACACAGTATTCATATAACTGCAGTGCATTATATCACCAATCACTGCATCCTAGGCCACAGCTTTGCCAAGGTGACTCCTTGACTGCACAGATTGAAATTGACGCTTTGCTTAATTGACCCTTGTAAAAAGTTTCATTGGAAATTTGTTCTTTATGTACATGTATTTCTCAGGCCTGCAACCAGCTCTCACTGAGGGGGTTTAATTTTTTAAAATTCAAATGGGGTTCAAATTGTCACCTGAAAAGTGCTCTTAATGAACCCCTGTCCTGAACCCCTCTGGCTACAGGCCTGTTTCTATACAGTGTAGAGTGACTACACCCATGTTTCCTCTATTGATTTTCCACTGTTATGTACTAACATATAAAACCTCGACCTGTGTAATAAATATTGATTCCTTATTTCAGAGCGAATTCTCTCGGGCCATGGTAATGCTAGTAATGGAGAAACTCGTAACAGACATTCCAGAATTGATGTTCGATGAACACCAGTTTTCACATATGGTCGACGAGGCTTTATTGTTTGATCAAGAATTACGTGGTAGCTATGGTTACCCCTCTGCCTTCCCAGGATGCCTTCATGTACTCACAGAGGAGGAGCCATTTAAGAAGTGGATTCTTGTAGAAAGGAAGTGTGAGTAAACATTTTACTTAACATAACTCTTTTTATCGCACTTTGAAAAAGTGCTATATTGTCGTCGTCTTGTGCTGTTGGGCGGGCGGGCGGGACATAAACCAAATCTTGTCATCAAATTTCCAGGATAACTGCTAACCTGTTCAACTTGAAATTTTTACAGCCGAAGAGCAGACTAGTACCAAGATCTGATTAGGTTAAGGGCATGCTGGGTAAACTACGTGGCGGCCATTTTGAATTTTTCAACAAATCTTGTCATCAAAATTCCAGGAAAACCACTTATCCGTTCAACTTGAAATTCTTACAGATGCAAGAGCAGACTATTGCCAAGATCTGATTAGGTTTTGGGTATGCTGGCTGAATTACATGGTGGCCATTTTGAATTTTTCAATTTGGCGGCCATTTTGAATTTTTCAACTTGCTCCAAATTGACCAAATTTTTTTTTTAAAAACATCTACAAGTTCTCAGAAGTTCAAATCTGACCTTAGATTTCAGATTTGACCTTTCATTCACCTTCAGTGACCTTGAAAAGGTCAAAAAAGTTGATTTTCTAAATTGATATTTTGGATTTAAATTTAGGTCAGCTTAATTACAAAACACCTACTGAGGTCTGAAAAAGTGAAATTTTCAAGGTCCAAGGTCAAGGTCATTAAACTAGGTCACAAATGATGTTATCCAAGTTTCTACAAATCAATTCTTGTCATCAAAATTCCAAGAAAACCGCTAACCTGTTCAACTTGAAATTTTTACACATGCAATAGCAGACTAGTGCCAAGATATGATTAGGTCTAGGGCATGCTGGGTAAACTACGTGGTGGCCATTTTGAATTTTTCAACAAATCTTGTCATCAAAATTCCAGGAAAACCACTTATCCGTTCAACTTGAAATTTTTACAGATGCAAGAGCAGACTATTGCCAAGATCTGATTAGGTTTTGGGTATGCTGGTTTTCAGATTTGACCTTTCATTCACCTTCAGTGACCTTGAAAAGGTCAAAAAAGTTGATTTTCTAAATTGATATTTTGGATTTAAATTTAGGTCAGCTTAATTACAAAACACCTACTGAGGTCTGAAAAAGTGAAATTTTCAAGGTCGAAGGTCAAGGTCATTAAACTAGGTCACAAATGATGTTATCCAAGTTTCTAGAGACTACAAATCAATTCTTGTCATCAAAATTCCAAGAAAACCGCTAACCTGTTCAACTTGAAATTTTTACACATGCAATAGCAGACTAGTGCCAAGATCTGATTAGGTCTAGGGCATGCTGGGTAAACTATGTGGCGGCCATTTTGAATTTTTCAACAAATCTTGTCATCAAAATTCCAGGAAAACCACTTATCCGTTCAACTTGAAATTTTTACAGATGCAAGAGCAGACTATTGCCAAGATCTGATTAGGTTTTGGGTTTGCTTGCTGAATTACATGGTGGCCATTTTGAATTTTTCAATTTGGCGGCCATTTTGAATTTTTCAACTTGCTCCAAATTGACCAAATTTTTTTTTTAAAAACATCTACAAATTCTCAGAAGTTCAAATCTGACCTTTGATTTCAGATTTGACCTTTCATTCACCTTCAGTGACCTTGAAAAGGTAAAAAAGTTGATTTTCTAAATTGATATTTTGGATTTTAGATGCAAGAGCAGACTAGTGCCAAGGTCTGATTAGGTTTTGGCCATGCTGGGTTAATTGCATGGTGGCCAGTTTGCTCTTCAAAGTGCGATATTTATCACTGTGTGTCTTGTTCTAATTCATGTATATATTTCTCATTTTATAAGTACATGCATGTACAGCTGTACACAAAGTCATGTTACAATATTACAGTATAATACAGATTTACTTTAATGATACAGATTTATGTCTTGAACAATATTAAATGTACATAATTTACAATTACAGTATAATCATAGGCCATTTACCCATGTATTAAAATAAGTATATCTAGTGTCTTATTTTATATTTAAGAGTTTTATAATAGTGAAATAGATTGTATGGTTCAAAATAGTTTTAAAGGTAATCAACCACAGACTGCCATTTTGAATATACAATGGTCAAACAACAGCCCTAATTTGATATTGCATGTACAATGTACATGTATAGGAGGAAATCAAATCAAAGATAAGTTCAATTTAAATGCGTGAAAGGTCCATGTGTAGTATGGCAAGTGATTTTAGACGGTCATATCTTTCACCATGGGTACTTTCTGGCCATCAATACAGTGGTTTTTATTAAAACAATATGTTTTTTTCAAGTGAAGTCCCCATGGTAGTAAAATATCAATCAAACTCTCTGAAAAATTATGGATCAGGACCCCACATTGGCACTTTTTAAAAATGCTAGGCTCATTTTCTAAAAAGAGGATCTTGTTTTTCTCAATTTGAACATATCGAAAGTTTCTTCTACACGTTATTAACAATTTCTGAAAAGGGGATGTGTATTGAAATGCGTTAAAGTTAAAAACCACATATCCCATGTTATTTTCCCATAGGGAAAACTCGTGCTATCCATTGTTTTCAGCATAGTTTTGGTCATCGAAAATGGATATCTTCAAACTAGACTTTCAATACCATTCTACTTTTGAAGAAGTTTTAGACCCCTTGTTAAATAATCTTTTCATGCATATTTGTATCATCATGGGGACTTCACTTGAAAGAAAACATATTGTTTCAATAAAAACCACTGTATTTATGCCCAGAAAGTACTCATGGTGAAAGATATGACCGTCTAAAATCACTTGCCATACTGCACATGGACCTTTTCTGGAATCTCTTCAATAATCATATTACGATCATGAACTATCATGTAGATGACTAGCTATGACTAAGTGTGACATTTGGTATTTATTCCTATACCCAAAAAGCTAAAGCAAGCTGTTTGTTTAGCTTTTTTGAATGAAAGTAGGTTAACATGTCATTTTTTATTTACAAACTAACTAATACAAATCCCAAATATAGCATAACATGTGGTTAAGGTCAGGGTGCATAATGGGAAATTTTCTGCATCCCTCAATTGAGTCACATGTCATTCTCACTGAATTTTCTCGTTTTTTATACATTTTACAAAATAAATCTTCTCACAAGTCTTTTCTAGGCACATAAGTGCACTCTTTATGCAAACCTGGAAAATATAGACAATGTGGGGAAGGAGTGATTCTTGTTTGAAAAATAACATGTGACTCAATTGAAGAATGCAGAAAATTTCCCATCATGCACCGTGACCTTATTATACAATATCAAATAGTTTATATGAGGTACATTTAGGCATAGCTTTCCTTCAAAAACTAGCTTACTTTTTGTTTCAGATTTTTTTGTAATGAAGTCAAAGTTTATTGAAACAGTAGTTCGCAATTTTGAATTTCACAAGATTAAGCCAAAATAATCCAAAATATATGTTTTAGTTATTGTTGTTCGAATAAAATTAAGAATTATCCCAATGTCCTTTGAGATTAGATGTTAATCCAAAAATCTATTATGTTTCAATTTTCTATGATACATGTGTACATCTCACATCACTTGATATTTTAACTGCATAATGTGGTGACACAGAGTGTTTAACTTGATCTTGAGTAGGCATCTGATCATTAACAATATTAATTCAATGTATATTGAAATCTATCTAATTTTCAAAATATGAACAGTTGTATTTAAAGTGTCTTGGGTATGCCTTAGATGATTAACATAAAATACATCTCCATCTATCCTAATTTCCAAAATACAAACATTCATTTTAAATGAATTTAGATTTTAGGTCAGGGATTGAAAGTCTTTTGTTAGATTTAGATATTTTATATCTTTAGATATTATATATCTCCCTCTCTTCCCCATATGGGAAAAAATAATTTTCTCAAGTTATTTATTTCAAGAAAATTAATTTCGTTTGGAGAGTCTACTGTCTATTCATTTTGCCAAATACACTAGTTTAGATAGACAAACCATATAGGGTAATTTTACATTTTGCTAAATACACTAGTTTAGATAGACAAACCATATAGGGTAATTTTACATTTTGCACAGAGATTTTATCTTACTAATCACTGTTCTACAGCTGGATGACTCTAACTGCAGTTAGCGTCATTCAAGATGGTTTCCAAAATTCTTTCGTTTTCGACAAACCTTCGATTTCAGCTCAACTAAGCTGAATCTTGATTCCAAAAGTTTCGCAAACACCTGCAATATTAGAGACTATGAAAGAAAACGGCTTCATTTAGAATGACTAACTGAAGTTGATGATGACAACTTTAGTTAGAGTGGAGCTGTTTTCTTTAAAATTCACCCATATCGTTCTTGTTAGAGCATTTATCTGTGGTTGTTTCCAATGGTAGCTTTATTAGTTTGCATGGCGAAACTTTTGGAATCCAGATTCAACGTAGTTTAGCTGAAATTAGGGGTTTGTCAAAAACAAAAGAATTTCGACGACTGTCTTGAATGACGCTAACTGCAGTTAGAGTCATCCAGCTGTGGAACAGTGCTAATGTCTACTAATGAACTACAATTTTTTCAGCTAAAAAGCTTTAATATGTTACATTGTTTCAATACAGATTGTTTGATTTCCACAATATACATTGTTGTGTTGCTACAATATACATCTGGCTTTGCTACAATATATACATTGTTGTATTGCCACAATAAACATTGTCGTATTGCTACAATATAGATTGATGTATTGCCATAATATATTTGCTGAGGTAAATAGGCCTCAATTGCTGCTCTTCATGACCACCAGTTATTTAATTTCCACCAGTTATTCACAATAGGCCATGTGCCTCCAAGAGTCTAGTAATATTATACAAAATTTTGAAAATGTTATGACTGATAAAGGACCATGCACCTTTTTTCTTTACTTAATTGTACTTAATTTGAATAGCATCCTGAACACCGGACCTAGTAAAAGTGTGACCTTGGACCATCTTTAAACCAGTGGGAAGTCCCTCTGAACCTAAGACATGGAGGGAACAGTTTGATCTTGAAAAAGCAATACGCAGAAGATCAGCACTTATCTCTTCTTCAATGTTTAAGCATACAATAACCACTGTATCTTCAAGTCCCCTAAAGTTTTCAATAGTGTCTACAGTGATAGTGTCTAAATCGGCATCCTTGCTATTTCCAACCTTTTCTTCACCATTTTGAAAAGAGTACTTAGTGCCACATTTTTTCTTGAAGTCATTCATGTCTTTATCATTTTGAAATAGTATTGTTGTGTGATGCTTTTTGTTTTGGTCAATTAATTCCATGAGACGCTCTGGTGAATATGTTTTTTCTTGTTTTACCTTTGGTCCAACAACATTGTGTCCAACTGAAGTATTTCTATATTCAGAAATGGTGTCATACTTTTTGAAAAAATTAGTCAATTCTGCAGGCATTCGCATTATTTTTCCTAAATGTGTAGTGCATTCAGGTTTGTTGCCTGAGAAGAAATCTTCAGCAATGGTATCTTCATTCCAATGCAGTGTTTGAACTTGATCAAGAAACAACCAGAAAAACCCTTTCTCTTTTGAAATAATAATATTTTCCTGAAAGAATGGGATAGTTTTTTTGAGAATATCTTGTGCTTCATCAATGAAGATGTGGTTATATTTTTCCCTTTCTTCCTTTTCAACATCAAATTTCTTAGGATCTATTGATTTGACAGTGACTCTTGTTCCATGCAGGAGGTCAAGTTCTATTTTCTTTGCAATGCCCTTTGCAACTGTGATGATAAGAACAGTGTCCTCTGGATTGGCTTCCAAAATCATCTTAACCTTCAGCTCAAGAATCTCTGTTTTACCTGACCCTGGTGGACCATCAATGTATTTGAAGCGAGTTTCATCATGTAAAAGATTGAGTTGTTCAGGAATCAAAAGAAGCCATTCTTTTGATGTAACCTTGGAGGTAGTTTTTTTGTAAGCGTCGCTTGTCAGTGCTGCAGGTCTTGTATTTTTCCTCTCATGCGCTAAGTGGCGAATATATATATATCTGGAAACAATCAGAAAATGCAAACATGACAGAGTGTTAAACAATGCTGTGTAATACTAGCAACGGTATGATAGAATAATTTTGGCAATGGGTGGGAGGAATTTAGGAATTTTGTTGAAACCAAGTTCTGATCAAATACCAAGTTATAAAAAGGCTCAGGCATCTTTTACTCTGAAGGATCATTTTTTCTATTATAACTTTTTATCTTATCGTACCTAAAAAGGTACGATGGTGTCGTCAGCTTGACGGGCAGACGGCAGCGTCTCACTTTCTTGTCATCACAATTCCAGGAAAACACTTTATGGATTTACTTCAAATTTTCACACATGTTACATGGTAAGAAGTTCTAGAGCTTTTTAACTTTTCTGTGGCCATCTTGCATTCTGGTGGCCGTCTTGGAAGTTTTTTTTACATAAATCTTGTCATCAAGATTCCAGAAAAACAACTGAACAGATTTACTTCATATTTTCATACATGTTACATGGTAAGAACTTCTAGAGCTGATTAACTTTTCGGTGGCCATCTTGCAATCTGGCGGCCATTTTGAAAGTCTTAGATAAATCTTGTCATCGCGATTCCGGGAAAAAAACTTGCCGGATTTACTTCAAATTATCAAACATGTTATATGGTAGGAAGTTCTAGAGCTGATTAACTTTTCGGTGGCCATCTTGCATTCTGGTGGCTATCTTGGAATTTTTTTTAGATAAATCTTGTCATCACGATTCCAGAAAAACCACTTGCGAATTTACTTCAAATTTTTGCATATGTTATGTGATAAGAAGTTCTAGAGCTGATTAGCTTTTGGGCGGCTTAACCTTGGAAGTTTTTATTAGATAAATATTGTCATCTCGATTACAGGAAATTCAAAGTTTCACACATGTTTCATGGTAAGAAATTCTAAAACTGATTAACTTTTTAGTGGCTATCTTGCATTCTGGTGGCCATCTTGGAAGTTTTTAGATAAATCTTGTCATTGAGATTCCAGAAAAACCACTTGACGGATATACTTCAAATAACTTTTTGGAGGCCATCTTGCATTCTGGCGGCCATCTTGGAAGTTTTTAGATAAATCTTGTCATCGTGATTCCAGGAAAACCACTGAATGGATTTACAGTAAAACCTGTCTAATCGGAACACCCATGGGACCAGCCAAAAGCGTTCAAATTTCAAGGATTTTGTTGGTCGGGGGGGGGGGGGGATTTTCATTGTTCAGTCCACTATATTGAACACTTAATACTAAGTAAGAAAATAATACATGTTGTTGATGAGTTAATTCTACAATAGGCCTAAAGCCTATATGCTATGTTTTATTTACATTTAGAACAATTTCATCATTTAAGTTAAAATAACTCTTATGATTTGGCAAAAACTTTGTAGTACACTGTCAAAGTATATGATAGTCTCATACAAAATCTTATGTTTATCAAATGGCTTATCCCATATTATGGTTACTTTTGCTTGAAAAAGTCCTTTGTTGTTTGTTTCTTGGCACTTTTAGCATTAGCAATATTTGAGTAGATATCCTCTTCAAGTAAAAAGAATTTTTCATGAGTGTTCATTCGAGATGATGTTTAATCCTTCAAAATATCAAGCGCATTCAAGATGTCGAAGTTGAATATCTCGTGATATAATCTGCAAATGTTGTCTGTGTTGTCTTTGTGATTATAAAACATTTACTGATTGAATCTTAGCTATCATAACAGACCCATGGGATATAAAACAGTTAAGACCTGTTCATAATCCAAATCAAAAACATCCAGCTAATTTACAATAAGAATAAACCAATTATCTCCTAGATTCTCACCTTTCTCTTCATCCAAATCAAAAACATCCAGTTAATTTACAATAAGAATAAACCAATTATCTTCCAGACTCTCACCTTTCTCTTAATCCAAATCAAAAACATCCAGTTCATTTACAATAAGGATAAACCGATTATCTTCCAGATTCTCACCTTTCTCTTAATCCAAATCAAAAACATCCAGTTAATTTACAATAGGCCTAAGGATAAACCAATTATCTTCCAGTTTCTCACCTTTCTCTTAATCCAAATCAAAAACATCCAGTTAATTTACAATAAGAATAAACCAATTATCTCCCAGATTCTCACCTTTCTCTTTATCCAAATCAAAAACATCCAGTTAATTTACAATAAGGATAAACCAATTATCTTCCAGATTCTCACCTTTCTCTTAATCCAAATCAAAAACATCCAGGTAATTTCCAATAATGATAAATCAATTATCTTCCAGATTCTCACCTTTCTCTTAATCCAAATCAAAAACATCCAGGTAATTTCCAATAAGGATAAATCAATTATCTTCCAGATTCTCACCTTTCTCTTAATCCAAATCAAAAACATCCAGGTAATTTCCAATAATGATAAACCAATTATCTTCCAGATTCTCACCTTTCTCTTTATCCAAATCAAAAACATCCAGGTAATTTCCAATAGGGATAAATCAATTATCTTCCAGATTCTCACCTTTCTCTTAATCCAAATCAAAAACATCCAGGTAATTTCCAATAATGATAAATCAATTATCTTCCAGATTCTCACCTTTCTCTTAATCCAAATCAAAAACATCCAGGTAATTTCCAATAATGATAAATCAATTATCTTCCAGATTCTCACCTTTCTCTTAATCCAAATCAAAAACATCCAGGTAATTTCCAATAATGATAAATCAATTATCTTCCAGATTCTCACCTTTCTCTTAATCCAAATCAAAAACATCCAGTTAATTTACAATAAGAATAAACCAATTATCTTCCAGATTCTCACCTTTCTCTTAATCCAAATCAAAAACATCCAGGTAATTTCCAATAATGATAAATCAATTATCTTCCAGATTCTAACCTTTCTCTTAATCCAAATCAAAAACATCCAGGTAATTTCCAATAAGGATAAATCAATTATCTTCCAGATTCTCACCTTTCTTTTAATCCAAATCAAAAACATCCAGGTTATTTCCAATAATGATAAACCAATTATCTTCCAGATTCTCACCTTTCTCTTAATCCAAATCAAAAACATCCAGGTAATTTCCAATAATGATAAATCAATTATCTTCCAGATTCTCACCTTTCTCTTAATCCAAATCAAAAACATCCAGGTAATTTCCAATAATGATAAATCAATTATCTCCCAGATTCTCAACTTTCTCTTAATCCAAATCAAAAACATCCAGGTAATTTCCAATAAGGATAAATCAATTATCTTCCAGATTCACACCTTTCTCTTAATCTCTTGAATCCCAGGCTCTAAAATTGGTATGAAACCAGAGAATTTTTCATTTTTTGCCACCTTTTGACATTTTATTACATACCTATACAACTTTAGATGCTCAGCTTAGTAAAATTGGACGGCAGAGATCATTTCTACACGTTTTAAAACAATTTTTGTGTAAATTGGATGAAAATTGTTCAAATGAGAGCAATTTTTGTGAAAAATTTTGTGACGGATTTTCTCGTCCCTCTGGGCACCAGTCTTATTTCATTTGTGATGGATATATCCGTCACTCTGGGTATTCAAGAGGTTAATCCAAACATAAAACATTCAGTTCTTTTCTAATAGGATAAACCAATTAACTCCTGTATTAACACCTTTCCAAAACATCCTGTTGTTTTCCACAAATTAGGGATGTCACTGAGACTAGATACATGTACTTCAAATTTTCACACATGTTACACGGTAAGAAGTTCTAGAGCTGATTAACTTTTTGGTGGCCAACTTGCATTCTGGCAGCTATATTGGAAGTTTTTAGATAAATTTTGATGTTGTGATATCAGGAAACCACTGAACAGATTTACTTAAAATTTGCACCCACGTTACATGGGAAGAAGTTTGAGAGCTGATTAACTTTTGGGCAGCCATCTTGCATTCTGGTGGCCATCTTGGAAGTTTTTAGATAAATCTTGTTATTGCGATTCCAGGAAAACCACTTGTACTTAGACTAATGGATTTCCTTCAAATTTTACACATGTTACATGGTAAGAAGTTCAAGAGCTGATTAACTTTTTGGTGGCCAACTTGCATTCTGGTGGCCATCTTGGAAGATTTTAGATAAATCTTGTCATTCCGATTCCAAGAAGACCATTTGACGGATTTACTTCAAATTTTCACATATGTAACATGGTAAAAAGTTCTAGAGCTGATTAACTTTTAGGTAGCCAACTTGCATTCTGGCGGCCATCTTGGAAGATTTTAGATAAATCTTGTCATTCCGATTCCAAGAAGACCACTTGACGGATTTACTTCAAATTTTCACATATGTTACATGGTAAAAAGTTCTAGAGCTGATTAACTTTTGGGTAGCCATCTTGCATTCTGGTGGCCATTTTAGAAGTTCTTGTTATTGCGATTCCAGGAAAACCACTTAATGGATTTACTTTAGATTCTTCAAATTCTGGCATTGTCTTAATACAATTCAAAACTTCTGCTTATAGCTTAGAAGTTATAGTTAAGTAAAGATCAAAGTTGATGAAATTAATTTTTTGCTTGATTGTGAAATATGATTATGTCATGGTCATTTTAACATAAAATAAAGACACTTTATCATTAAGTTATTTTAGGCTTATGGGTAAATAACCACTTAAGTATTTGGGGGGCTAGACAGTTCTACAGCAGTACCTGTACTTATACAAATAATTGGCAATGATATCTGTTGGTAAAAAGCTACTCATAATAGGTTGAAAAATGAGGTATTAACTATTTCACAATTGTTCAAGCTTGTGAAATGACCCTGTGCAAAAAAGAGTGGTATCGATATGGAGAACTGAATTCAACAATGTTTTTTTCTTAAACAAATCATTGAAAACATTCTGTAAAAAAACAAGGTATTTTATTTAATGTTGACTGATTGACAACAATTTAATGCAAATATTATTTAGAAATATTTTATTTAACTGTTTTTGTTAACACTTTTTGTTTTTTTTAGTGCAATTGTTTTTGCTCCTTTCTACCAATTCCTGAGAATGAAATAAAATGTCTTTCCAAACCTTGTTGGAACAAAATAGCATATACAACATGTTTTTAGACCTTTCAATGTTATAGTTATACAAAATAAATTTTTGTTGATTTTAAAAAAGTATTCAAAAAATTAAAACAAAATCCCCCCAAAATAGATAAAAATCAAGATAAACCTTTTATTTCATTAACAAGGTACTTTTTTAAAATCAACCAAAATTTCCTTTGTACAATTACAATATTGAGAGACCTAAACATGTTGTGTTTATGTCGTTTAGTTCCAATGAGGTTCAGAAAGATGTTTCATTTCACTCTGGAAACATGATACCAAGAACAAAACAAGTGTTTGATGTGTTTTCTAAAACAATATAGATGAAAGTATATATATTATATTTCAAATTATATTGTTACCATTCAAAAAATTGACGATGTGTTAAATTTTTAGATTCTTTTTATGACCGGTTTAAGAGAAACGTGTGTTCAAAAAGTTCTCCATATCGATACCACTCCTTTGGTATTGAAAAAATATTCACATGGTCCATGGACTATAGGTCATTGTCCCACTGAACGAAGTTCATGGGGGATATAAGAAAGCCGTCCGTGACCTTTAGATTCATTGATGACTTGTATGTTATTAACAATGATGGCATGATTGAAAACAATTGGAAAGAAATACATGTATATCCAAAAGAGCTTGTGCTTAAAAAAGAAAAAGAATCTTAGGAACTATATTTTTAGACTTCCAAATTGAAATTTGTAACAATGTATGTACTACAAAACTTTTTGATAAAAGAAACAAAATCAATTTTTGAATAGTCTCTTATCCCGATTTATATGGGTTGAACCCTATAATTGATTAAATACCGGAAATGGCAAATAAATAAAATCAAATTATAATCTACCTACATGATGAAGATATCCAAATGTTTGTCTGAATTTATCTATGTGTAAGGTTGTATGCTTCTGTTGCTCTTTAACAAAATATGTGGGACAGTATATATTACAAGACATCCGTTAGTTAGTTAGGTTGTTCATCTGTCCGGGCTAAACTCAAACACCGGTTGATGAATTTGGTTCAAATTTGATAGGCTTATGCCTTATGAGAGTAGCTCTGCTTGAGAAGGAATTCTTAATATGGGCGCTCAATTCAAAATGGCCACCATTTTTCGTAAAAAATGTAATCTTTGATAACTCAAATATTAGTGGATGGATTTAGTTCAAATTTTATATACTGATGCCTAGGGACAATGGAGCTCTGCTCAAGAAGAATTTTTCAAGATGGCCTCTGAATGGCCGCCATTTTTCGTAAAAGAACGTAATCTTTGATAAATCAAATACCAGTGGATGCAATGCCATATGGTTCAAATTTTATATGTTGATGCCTAGGGACAAACAAGCCCTGCTCAAGAAGTAATTTTCAAGATGACAGTTAAATTTCAAAATGGCTGCCATTTTTCGTTAAAAATTGTAATTTTTGATAACTCAAATATCAGTGGATCGATTTGGTAAAATTTTATATGCTGATGCCTAGTGGGGACAAAGGAAAGGCCATTTGACAATTCAAATACCAGTTGACAGATTTTGTTCAAATTTTATATGTTACTACCTAGAGACAAAGGAGCTCTGCTCAAGAAGGAATTTTCAAGATTGGCACTTATTATCAAAATATGTTTTGTTCGGTGGGATTTGCTATTCCTCCTATATATATACAGGGTGTCCCGAAAGTATGGGCCCCCCTAGGCAGACATATACCAGTGTTGTCATAGTATGTGTCATATATCATTTTAAAGCTTATTCAAAGTTACATTGATTCGTCAAGTATCATTGTTCAACTCTAAAATGTCAAAAAATTACAGGCATTTCAAAATTTAGTGTTTGGTCTGAATTAAGTTCAATTTTACACCAAATCCCTAGTCAATGTGTCCTCCTGGGCCATCTTACAGCAACAATATTTTTTTCGAGTCGGAGGGATATTGAGTTAGAAAAAGAGAATGGTGAGGGTAGAAACTCTAATGAAACTCTTCTAAAGTCCCTTAACAGGTTTAAGAGGATTATAAAATTCCACACCCTATTTGAAGGGCTTTTAAGGTCACATCTGAAAATAATTGCTGATGTTAACATGGCCGAGGGGGGACACATTGACTAGTAATGTGGTGTAAAATTGAACTTTATTTTGACAAAACACTAATTTTTAAAATGACTGTAACTTTTTCCCATTTGGGAGTTAAACGATGATACTTGGCAAATCAATGTAACTTTGGATAAGCTTTAAAATGATATATGACACATACTATGAGGACACTGGAATATATCTGCCTAGGGGGGGGGGCCCATACTTTCGGGACATCCTGTACACTTAGTTTTTCAGAATAATTCAATAACAAATAAAATATTAATGATAAACTTTACTTACTTTGCAGAAAGAAAGTTGTATAGTTCTTTACTAATACAATCTTTTGCATCTCTTGCATTTCTGTCCCACCATTCACGGAAGGCCTTATCATCTGCAACGTCATCTCGATATAGTCTTTTAAAGTAATTTTCGCCATTATCTGACTTTTGATCAATATTTGGGGTTGCAAATACCTGTTGTAGATGCTGGGCATTTAAAAGCAGGGACTTCATTTCTTTTGCTAGATGTTTATCTTCGATGCTTTCTGTAATTTCTTCCAAAAAAGCCTTGTCCTTACGTAGCTGTTTATTAGCATGCCTTTTTTTAGAACTCACACCTTTTTTTTTTTTTTTTTTTTTTTTTTTTTTTTTTCTTATCTACAGCCTTCACTTGCATGAACATGATGCCTTTTCGATGTATTACAACAAAGTCATGATCACCCTTATACCTCTTTTTATCTTTTTCCATCTTTTCATCTTTTTCCTCCTTATGCGTATCATAATAATCAGAAAACAGCAGCCCTCTTATGACAAACATTGATTCCTTCAGATTTTCAAATCGTCTAAAAATGGACAGTTCTGATTCATCACATTTTGTGAATGAATCTCTTCTTGGCTTCGGTTCAAGATTGGCACCAGCATAGTCCTTAGCCTCACTTGGTGACTTAGGAGGATTTTGAATTTTATATTCAGGCCCTTCTTCTTTATAAGAGAATATTGGCGGAACTATTTTGACAATGTTTTCATCTGTTTTAAAATTGTTCTCATAGAAATCAACTGCTTCTTTGTCCAATTGAACTTGCTTGAATCGTGGTTGTTCAGTGTTTTCTAAAGGTGACTTGATAGCAATCACTTGATCAGGAAACTTTGCTGCCATCTCTGTTGTGCTTTCCTGCATGAGAACAGATATGATCAACTGCCTCTATTAAGCTGACTTATATATTGCTAGGTATTGCATCAGATTTCATCATGAATCACGCGATGCCGTGTTGTGAAATAAATGCTTAGTTACGGCCTTGACCTGACCCTCTGTATGGAATATACAGAAAATATGAACAAAGCAAAGTATACAAACTTGTGTCAATAAAAAAACCATTTGAGATTCTATTTTTAGTGTATTTGTATGCCTATGCATTGTGAATGACACTTTGTGTGTCTAAGTCTTATAAAAGCTGAAATGATTGTTTTTTGCTGAGAAGGGTAAACCAGGATTTTAGTGCCTGTACACTCGACTACTTACAGGTTTTTTTATATTAATTTCTCAATAGAGGCTTTAATGAAAAACTTTGAGATACTGTTCTAGACTTTACTGATCAAAAATCAGGTGGGGAAATGATAGTCTCTCCCTCTTAGAAAGTTTGGCCATATAAATGTTTGTGGATTAAAATCGAAATTATCCAATCCAGACTTCAGAGTCAAAATTTCAGAGTATGATATCCTTACCTTAACTGAAACAAAACTGGATAAAGTTGATGAGATAAATATTTCAAGGGATTTAAAAGAACTTGGATATATAACATTTTTCAAAATTAGAAAGAAGATGTCTGTTAAAAAATCTGGAGGGATTCTTGTAGCTGTAAAACAACAATTTAAGAAACATATCAAATATATTGAAAACAAATGTGATTGTGTCCTATGGTTGAGGATTGATAGTCAATTATGTGGTCATCCAATGCTATTAGGAGGTGTATATATCCCACCTGAAGGATCACTGTACTCTGACTATAACTGTTTTGATAAAATTGAATCAGAGATGCTTAGTTTGCAAAATGAAAATGAAGAACTCTGCCTCTTGGGGGATTTTAATTCACATACAGGTTCAATGGAAGATTATGCTAAAATTGACAAGTATATGACGCATTGCATTGATGACAAAATGGTAGAATTTTTTAATGCAATAGATCAGCTTGAGAATTACAATGTTAAAGTGAAACGAGTTTCACATGACTCACACAGGGTAAATAATTTTGGGAATAGACTGATACAAATGTGTAAAGCAAATAATTTATTTATTGCTAATGGGAGATTTGGAAAGAATAGTGAAAATATTACATGTTTTAAAGGAAAGGGTTCTGTAACAGACTATATTATATTATCAACAGGTCTAATATGCACACCAGATCTGAAAAATGTTGAGATAGAACAATTTAACCAAGATTATTCTGACGTTCATTGCTTCATTAACTTGTCTATGGCATGTAAGAATCAAACTTTAATCTGTGATGATCAGAATATCTCATCTGTGACAAATGACAATCATTTTAAATATATATGGTCGAACGATAAGGCTGATGATTTTCAAACAAATTTAGATACTGAAGTTCTAAAGCAACTAAATGTATTGTTAGATGATCCATCAACATCTGTTGAAGATTTAAATGTAAAGCTAAATGAATGTATTTTGTCTGCTGCTGATAAATCAGGGTTATCAGTAAAAACATGTAAACAAGACGTTTTTAAAAATGGTAAAAATGTTAATAAATGGTTTGATAAAACATGTCATCTAAAAAGGAGATCATATAATAATGCTAAAAATAGGTATCTTAGGACTAAAAGTGAACTAGATAAGCAAGACATGGTACGTAAAAACAAACAATACAAAAAACAACGCATCAAAGCACAGAAAGAGTACAAGAGGCAATTTAACAAAAAATTATTGAATCTCAAAAAGAATGATAGTAAAAGGTATTGGAAAATTTTAAATCCAAAGTCAAAAAAAGAATTCAATGAAGTCAACCTTGATCTCTTAAGGGACCATTTTGAAAGCTTGTACTCATCTGATGCATCACATGAGATACCAGAAGACATGCCTTCTCAGTATGAGACAGGCTTTGCTTATGACTTGAATATTAAACTTCTTAATTGTGACATCACAGCTGATGAAATTTATTCAGCTATCAAATCCTTAAAGAATGGCAAGTCTTCAGGTATGGATAATATATTAAATGAGTATATTAAGTACAGTAAATCATTATTGATTGACATATGGGTGAAATTGTTTAATAAAGTGTTAACCTGTGGAGTTATGCCTAGTGACTGGTTGAAAGGAATTATTAAACCGATTTTCAAGAAAAAGGGTAATCTGAACGATCCCAAAAATTATAGAGGTATAACATTGTTAAGCTGTTGTGCTAAATTATTCACTCATGTGTTGAATGTAAGACTGACTGACTTCGTAAATTCAATGGAATTGTTAAATATCAATCAGTGTGGATTTCGGAAGTTTCATTCCACAACTGATCACATCTTTGTTTTGAAATGCTTGATTGATATTCTTTTGACTAAGAAGCAAAAACTTTATTGTGGATTCGTAGATTATTCGGTTGCGTTTGACTCTGTGTGGAGAGCTGGCCTATGGCACAAACTAATTAAATGTTATGGAATCGAAGGAAGGTTTTTAACTGTAATCCAGAATATGTATAATAATATTAAGAGTTGTGTATCTCATGATAATGTTAAAAAGTCTGATTTTTTTAGCTCATCTTTAGGGCTATGTCAGGGAGAAAATCTCTCCCCTTTGCTCTATGCTTTGTTTATAAATGATGTAGAAGCCTTTTTACTTAACAATAGTTGTGAACCTATTCCACTTATGGATGATGGACAACTGAATGTACTTTTAAAGTTGCTTGTTTTATTATACGCAGATGATACTGTGATATTTGCTAATTCTATGACCAATTTGCAAAAGGCCTTTTCTGAATTATCACGATATTGTAAAAAATGGAAAATCCACATCAACTTAGATAAAACCAAGGTTATGGTTTTTAGTAATAGTAAAACAGGTAGAAAGGGTATTCAAAATGTAGTTTTGGATGGAATTAAACTGGAAAATGTGTCTGTTTTTAAATATCTTGGAGTTATTATTGATCAAAAGGGTGGATTCAATCAAAATATTAAAAATGTATATAGCCAGGCAGAAAAGGCCATGTTTGCTATACTTAGCCAGGGTAATAGATATTCGTTACCAATTAAGACACAATTACATCTTTTTGATACGCTTGTTGCCCCCATTTTGTTATATGGGGCTGAGGTATGGGGCTTTATCAACAATACAAAAATAGAAAAATTACATTTAAAGTTTTTAAAGTATATCCTTAAAGTCAAAGCATCAACACCAACCTTTATGGTTTATGGTGAGTTAGGGAGAATGCCATTAAGGGTAAAATTTGATTTATGTATATTAAAATATTGGTATAAATTAAGCTCTAACAATGAAAAAACGCTCTCAGCAAAGATGTACAAAATATATAGAAGTTATTTTGATAAAAATCTTGTGAAGTCTGACTGGCTGAATTATGTCAAGAAGTCATTAGATAATCTTGGAATGACAAACATTTGGTTAAATCCTAGTCGTTCGCATTTTTCAAAATTTGTTAAAATGGTAAAATTAAGGCTAGAAGACCAGTTCAGGCAATCGTGGGAAAATGATGTAAGTAATAGTAACATAGGTTTTAATTATAGAATTTTTAAAACAGAATTCAAGTTTGAAGACTACTTATTTTCACTGCCTCAAAAATATAGAGTCATTTTATCAAAATACAGAATGTCCAACACAAAATTACCTATTGAGAGGGGTAGGTATAGAAATGTAGAAAGAAATAGAAGATTTTGTGAACTATGTAATAACAATTCATTAGGAGATGAATTTCATTTTATATTAGAATGTAAGTCTGTTAAAAGCATTAGAAAACAATACTTACCCCAATATTTTTGTAAAAACATTAGTACTTTTAAATATGCCAAGCTGTTACAATCTGATAGTAAAGTATTGTTAGCATTATGTACGTTTCTAAATGAGGCTGGGAAGCAATTGTAAATATGTTTGTTATGAAATACTTAATTGTTAAATACTTATGTATACTGTATGTACTTTTGCCTAATACCCTTTATTTGGGTGATGGTATAATAAATAAAATTGAAATTGAATTGAAATTGTATCAAACGTCTTTTTCTATTAAGGAAAACCTCAAATAACTTTACTAAATGACCAGTAAACTTGATGACACTTGTCACACATAATTTATGGCATATAATACACATTTTGAAGATGACTGATTAATTTTTACTCAAAATATTTTGTGACTTACAGGGTGTTCCAAAAGTAACAGGACTGGTACTGGCATTTTGTCAATTTTGCACCGATTGTCTTCAAATTTTCACAAATTGTACTTTGAAGTATTGCAACTAAAATTGTATAGTTTCAGAAAAAATGATGAAATGCAGGTAGAGTTGTGGTTACTATAGTAACATGACATCACAATACCCGGGGCAACTTTTTTTCTGAAAATGTGATATCTAACATTTTTGTATTACTGAAGAAAGTATCTAATTCACCTATTATAATACAACATTTCTTGTTTATTTTATTAGTTGCTTTGTTGTAAAGGTGTTGCTATAAAACTCAGATTCAAGTATAACTTCATTATAGTTATATTTATTCAATTTCCTAGAATATCACTATGAATAACAGTCTGAACAATTCATGGTTGAGTTTTTGAAAAGACCCAATTTGAAGCCAGTCATCCACCTTGATAACACGCCTGCCCGCAGGTCACCATTAAAGACCATGCAGCTATAGAGGAGCTAGGTCTTGAGTTCTAAAACCATGCACCATACTCTTCTGATCATGCAACATCCAATTTTTACTTATATGGAGAATGGAATAATAATCAGTGCTGTAAGATCTTTAAAAATGAGAATGACCTTCTCCAAGGACCATGCTTGACATGTCCTCAAATGGGTTCAATCATGTGTTTGAGTCATGGATACAGAGTGCTACTCTTCTACTGACCAAAGAGGAGCCTATTTTTCAAAGTACATAGGATACATAGGAATATCAAATTATGTAAAACAAATGTAATTCCCACCAGTTGTTGCATTTTAACTTTGATATGGGATGTACAAAATGCTTATGTCTCTTTCTGT